ACGTGCTTCTCTGAGGCTCCTCTGCTACCACCTTGTCCCCAAAAAGGACAAAGAATTTTTTTGAGCAATAATCCTGAACAAAAAAAGCCAAGCAGGGACTCCCCTGGGCCCGTGTGGGTGCCAGTGGAACTCACCATCACCACGGCTCCCCGCTCTGGGAGGTGGCAGCGATGCCCCCAGAGCTCGGAAAGACTGAGCTGCAGTCCAGGGGAAGTTCACTGGGTTGTCTGGGTTGGGGAACAGATTAGAGGCAAAGAGAAGCAGCAGACAATAGAAACTTAGATATTAAGAGTGGGCAGAGTGGGGAAAAAATGTTCTGTTCGCTAAAGAGAGAGACAGGGAGATGGAGAAGCAGCAACAGGAATGACTCAGGTCATGGAGAACAACAAAAGAAATCTGCTCTAAGCAAACAAACCCAGGCAGGATGAAGGCCATGAAAACCTGCAAGACTGAGTGCACAAAAAAACTGTATTTTCCAGAAAGCTGACAAAAACATGTCTGTGGGATTGAGAGCACAATCAAAGCTCAGCATGAAAAAGGCTGTGAGGGAAGACACTGAAGAGGCAGACACGGCGCAGAGCCTGGGGAGAGCAGAGCAGAGAACACGGCGAGCGCTCCGGCACTCGCCCACGGGCTCTCGGCAGAGAGCTCGGGCCACAGACACCGTCTGTACTCAGAGATGCTCTGGGTGAGGATTCTTATGGAATGAATTCCCATGATGGAGCAGATCTGCAGCTCCAGGGAGTCCCAGTGCAGTGTAGGGGGTTGGGAAGGGGAGCAGTGGGTGCCCGTCCATCCCCCACAGCCACGCTGGGACTGAAGTCCTTCAAGTGAATTCATTTTTTGAATGAGCCAAAATAACAGGAATGCCGAGGTTGAAAGCACTGGAGTGAGTTCAAAAGACAACGTTTCCACTGGGAAATAAATCTCTCACCATTCTGTATAATTAGACAAGGAAAATGAAAAACAATTTCAGAAAGAATTCCCAGAAGCAATATCCAAGGAGGAGGCGGGAGGTGTGCTGGGCAGGAATGTGGGGCTGGGCTCTGCTGTCACTGCCACACAAACACCACTGGCATCTCTGGGCAGCAGGGCTGAAGGAGCTCCAGGAGCACTGGCAGATGTGCCACAGGAGCACAGCTGGGACAGGAACATTGGCAGATGTGCCACAGGAGCACTGACAGATGTGACACAGGAGCACTGACAGATGTGCCACAGGAGCACAGCTGGGACAGGAGCACTGACAGATGTGCCACAGGAGCACAGCTGGGACAGGAGCACGGCACAGGGAGCTCCAGAGGCACATCCCACCCATCACCAGTGCCCTGGGAGCAGGGCTGGAGTGGTGGAGGGTCGTGGAATCCTGGCATGCCCAGCCCATGTGGAGGAGCCTGGCAGAGCCTGAGGGGCACACGCTGCAGGAGGGGCACACAGGGGAACAGAGGAGGGGAGCAGCCCCGGACTGGGGCAGTGATGAGTTTGGGAGGTGAGCGCAGCAGGCACAGCCCGGGGGTGGCACAGAGCCCGGGGCACGGAGGGCACAGCCCCGGGGGTGGCACAGAGCCCGGGGCACGGAGGGCACAGCCCCGGGGGACAATGGCCCGAGTGGCCGGTCTCAGCTGCCATCTAGTGGGGAGCGGCCATGGGGCACCCCCGGCTCGGGGCTGGCTCCGGATCCAGCAGCACTGGGGTGGGAAAAGCCCTCCCAGCCCATCCAGTCCAGGCTGTGCCCTGTCCCCCCCTTGTCCCCAGCCCAGAGCTCTGAGTGCCACCTCCAGCCCCTCCTTGGACTCCTCCAGGGATGGGCACTCCAACCCTCTCTAGGCAGTTCCAGTGCCTGAGCTCCCTTTCCATGGGGAAATTCCTGCTGCTGTCCACCCTGGCCCAGCCTAAGGCTGTTCCCTCTCCTCCTGTTCCTGTTCCCTGGGAGCAGAACCCAAATCCCACCTGGCTGCCATCTCCTGTCAGGGGCTTGTGCCAGAAGGTCCCCCTGAGCCTCCTCCACACTCATTCTCCACAACCTTCCCTAAATGCTTACCTTGTTCTTTGCCACAAGACACAGCCTAATTTGTGCCTCTCCTAAACCCACAGCCCAGCACAGCCACCATCAGCCAACACAGCTTTTATTCCTGACTCAGCTTCCAAGGAAGTTTCACAATCGCTCTGGCCTCCACCATATACATTTGCAAACTGCATCAGCAGAGGAGAAAACCCGTAAGAAACTGATCCTGAGTATCTTAACAAAACCAAACACCACTGCTCCGACATGGACTTAGCAGCTTCTCTTGTTTCCAGCCTCTGCAACATGGAAGAAAACCCAAAGTCAACACGGGGGCTTTATCCAAATGAATACAAGTGGTTAAGAGTTAACGGCGTGATGAGAGCTGTCTGGAGGCTGCTCTGACTGCGAGACACAGCGGAAATCTTCTCAAGTTGTGACAAATGTCTTGGCTAATGCAGCCACATTCTATGTTTAAATCTCACTAAGATGTAATTCGACATTTGGGTTTACTTTTTTCACTATAATCGAGAAACAAACTCCAGTCCACGTTAATCTCTCCACAGCCTGAATTTGCACGTGGAATTACCATCCCCACCGTGCCAATCCCTCCCCACTCTACAGTCAAATCAAAGGAAAACCAGACATTCTTCCCAGCAGGGTTCATTGGTTACAGAAATACAGTCAAAGCACAGGATGGATATTTCTAGGAGTCCAAAGGTTCAATCTCATCTCTTGCTCAAGGAAATCCCTGTGGAATAGGTAACACGAAGATAACACGCTGCACCCTGGTGTTGCAAGGTAAGAACCCAAACAGAACAGCCCACAGCTCCATTTTTGATGGCTGGAGGAGGATAACCGAGGACAAGGAGCTGCCTCATGTGTCAACACACACCACCCTCAGCAGCAGAGTGTCTCTTGGATCTGTTTCCATGCCGGCTGCATCCCCCCTGCACATCTGGAAGGGCAGCGTAAGCCATTAGCAATTATGGCACAAGGCATTAATGCACAGCCACAACCCCTGACGTGCTGGGTGAGCCAGCTGGCCCCACTCGGTGATGGGCACGACAGGGGACAACAGCAGCACGCAGCTGGCACCACAACCTGGAGTTCTCATAAGCAGATTCTGGAACAGGATAATCCAGGCAGTCCTGTCCTGGTTGCTCCACAGAACCTTTTGCACGCACAGCTCTTTGCAAGTCCCCAAAATCTGTGTCTGCACCGCTGCAGACGGGCTCTGCTCCCACGCTGCATCCTGGAAACATCAGCAGCTCCACACACAGAGGGGTGAGCGCTTCCCTGCGGCTCCTGTCACCCTGCCTGGCTTTGCCAGCCCTGCCACAGCAGAGGTGAGCAGTGGGAGGCTGCTGAGCAGGCTGCAGGAGCACAAGACTCTGTTCAGATTAGGAGCAACCAACAATGCACATTTTGTCCCTGAAGAAGTGGTGGCACCAGAACGGAGGCAGGAGTTTGTTTAGGAGGGATCAAGACAGCTGGCACCTGGAGCCGGAGCCGGTTGTGCCGCTAGAGCTGCCCCAGGGCTCAAGAGCCAAGGGTGGAGGAGCTGGTTCTCCCAAACAAGGGCCCCTTTTCAACAGGTGATAGAAAAATCAGGCCTCACTGGCTGTCACAGAACCAGAGAATGGTGGAATGGTTTAAATTGGAAGGGCCCTTTAATCTCATCCAGTCCCACCCCCTGCCCTAGGCAAGGACACCTTCCACTAAATCAGGTTGCTCCAAGCCCTGTCCAGCGTGGATCTGGGCCAGGGATGGGGTAACCAAGCTTCTCTGGGTGGGTGCAAATTGAAACAAAAGAGGTTCAGCCTTGGGGTCAGGAGGCCAGGGAAGCAGCTGGGCTGGAGCCCAGGCAGGCTGTGCCTCTCCCCGCTCGGATGCTCTCGGCTCCCGAGCGGTAACACCCGAGCAACTGCTCTGAGCAGGAGGTTGGACCAGAAACCTCCTGAGCTCCCGTCCTACCTGAATTACCTGATGGATCTACGACTCCAGGCTGGGACCTGGCTGCAATCCACCACGCAATCCTTTCCCTGAAATGCAGGGCAGCACCTCCCACACGCAGCCTCCCCAGCTGCTGCACGTTCCAGAGGCGAGCGCTTGACCGAGCCCAGCGCGAGCTTCCCAGCGCTCACGGAACAGCCTCGCGTGTCCGCCTGCCTTCAATGAACACTTCTGACAAACGAGCACCTTCCCATGGATCTGGGGGGGATCTGCTCAAACCAGGACCAGTCTGTGGGAGCAGGCTGTGCTGGGATGGGGACACCCTGCGCGCAGACAGCCGCTCCAAAGCCACCCAGGCTGTCACGGAACAACCCAGCCTGCTCTGCCTCTCCACACGGCTTCTCCTCGTATCCCAAAACCCTGCTGGCCATGAGCAGGCACAGAGGCCACGGACTGGTCTTGGCTGCTCGGCAGTGCCACGGGAGAGTCACCACACGAAGCTGGGATGGGCCACACCGTGCGGGACCCGCTCAGAACCAGCCAACGCTCCTCAAGCTGGCAGTAAGGTTTGCAAACGCATTCCGAAATAAAAACTAACAACAGTGAGTTTCCTGAAAACCCCCCAGAATCCCTTCCAGAGGTGAGGAAGCCTTTGGCACAGCAGGAGCAAACGCAGGGAACAGGGGCCACGCTGCCAAGGAGTCGCAGGACTCCAAAAGCCCTGGAAATCTACAACGTATTTTCTTCCACTGCTCTTTTTGCCATGTTTTCCTTTCAGCACGGCAGAGCAGCATGTTTGTGCTGGCCAAGCCTACCCTCCTCCTCTCCACCGCACCTCCAAGCAATCCAAGCACGGGAGATACAGTATTACCTCAAATATTTAACCAAGGGATTAAAGGATTCTCTTGGCAGGAGGCAGGAGCTGCCACACGGATCCAGCTCCGGCGCGGGCCGGCCGGCGCTGCGTGCCAGCGGCTCCACAGCGAGCAATCTGCCCCGGGCTGGCCAGCACTGCCTCTGCTTCGGGGCCACAGCTCCTGCTCACCGGTTCCCGGCCGTCCATCGCCTCCATCCACAGCCTCCGCTCCTCCTCCGACAGCGCCTGCATGGTGATGACGCCGGGCCTGCCGGGAGAAAGGGAACGGCGTCAGTGAACCGCGGCACGGCAAGCAAAGGCGCCAGAGATGAATTTGTCACGAGAGGAAGAGGGAAGGAGGGCAAGCTCCTTCCCAGCCGGGCCCCAGCACGAGGAGGACAAAAGCCACGGACATCCCTGCAGGTCCTGACCGCCATCAGCAAGCGAGCAGAGGACATCTCCAACAACCAACGCACCTTTCCAGCGGTTTTGTGCAAGAGCTGGGTGCCAAATTCCTCCTGTGGCCCTCAGCCAGCTCACCTGCACCGGGTTAAACACGTCCTCGCAATGGCAGGAGAAGGCAAGGAAGGTAACCAAGGAAGGTAACCGAGCAAGCCCCACACATCCCCCGTGTCTCACCGCCACCCCGAGCACCAGGCCCACGGAGGAAACTTCTGCTGTGCAAAACATTTCACCCCCAAGCTGCTCGTGCCCTCGTGGCTGTGCCAGCCCCCAGCCCTGTCCCTGCCCTGCTGACAGACACAGCAGTGGCAGTGACTCTGCTGCATGTCCCCTCCTGCAGCCTCACAGGGGAGCAGTGCAGGAGTCCAGGGTGCCCCAGGGTGCTGCTCCTGCCCCCAGCACTGTCACACACACACCAGCCCTGAGCTGTCAGCCCAGCCTCCAACAAACAGCCCTGGGACTGCTCATTTACTGTAATGAGAAGGGGAAGGGACAGGCCTGAGTGCTGCACACACAGCACAGCAGCAGGGGACAGCTCTGGCACTGCCCTTGCCCGAGGGCCGACGCCACCTCCACGCTCCTCAGCGGAGGCAGCCTCCACTCCTGGACCACCCCTTCCACGCAAGGAGTCAAACCTCAATTACCTGCTCTGTTAAGCGTGACCAGCAAGGTGAGGGTGGTTTTGGCAATCAGAATGTTTGCACAGCATTGCGGGGGGTGTGGGGACACAGAGGGTGGGAGCTGTGATCCCACACCAGGAGCTGCCGCCTCACTGTGCCGTGCTGGGCTGCCAGGGTGTCCATCTCCACATCCCAGCTCATCCTGCATCCCAACACTCCCAGCTGGCTAAGCCTGCAGCCCCCAGCCCTGTCCCTTTGTGCTGGCTCTGCAGCCCCAAGGGGTGGCCACATCCCCGGGCTCAGACACCGAGACCTGTCCGTGTGCGCTCCGGTGCTGCCGCTCCCTCCCCAGACGCATCAGCAGCAGCAGATTCCCTGGCAACGGGAGCAGGCAGGGAGGCTGCTGGTGCTCCCTGCCCGTGGGGATGCAGACACACAAGCTGTGAGAGCAGAGAGCCCCTGGTGCTGCTCTTCCCAGCCCAGCAGAGCACGGGAGCACCGGGCACACGGAGGGAAGGGAAGGGGGATGGAAGCTCGGGAGCTGCCAACTGCCTGCGAGTGTTCCACAGAGCACGAAGGCTCTGCTCCCTTCTCAACCCCCAAAAAAACCTGCTAAAGCCTGGGCAGAGGGGTGATTTCTAACTTGGACTTCCCTGGGGTGATTCAGCAGGAAAACGTGAGCTGCACCAACACTCTGCAGATGCCCTTTGGTCCTTGATAAGAGCCTGTAAGAAAATTAAACTTTAACAGGGGCTCTCAAGAGGTGGGTTTGGCCCTTCGGCTGCTGCTTTGTGGCACACACAGGCCAGGAACCGAGGATTAACCCTTCTCCCTGACCCCACTCCCCATCCAACCAGCCCAGCTTCCAGCAGCACACAGCAGCTCAGCACTGTCCCACCAGTGGAAGCTGTGCCCAGGTCCAAAAACCAGACATAATGTGCTTGATCTCTGCTAATCCCATTGGTGAGTCAGTCAATACTCACCAGCTTAGTGGTTTGGAAGTTAATTCACTTCAGAGGGAAGAGGAAACCACTTAACCATTGCCCCATCTGAGAGGGAAAACGCTCCTCATCCAACAGCAAATATGCTCAAAGCAGTGCACAAAGCTCCTCCCTGTGCAGGTACAAAGTGACTCAAGAGCAGCCCCTGGTACCTGAGGAGCTGCAGTGGCCACTTTAGCCTGGGCTTGGGTCTGACTTTAAGCCAAGCTGCTGCTGAAGGCACAGACACCTCAGTCAGAAAGCCCTGGAAGGGCTCTAGCCCAGCTAGGGACACACAGGAAAGGAAATTCTGGGATTTCTGTCTCTTCAGCCAAGACATTAGAACAGAGGCATTTAAACCCTCCATTCATGGCATGCTGGGCACTGGGCTCCCAGTGGCAGAGCAGGGTCCCAGAGTGGCAGTGCCAGGTTCCCCCAGCACAGGGCACAGGTGTTAACAGCAAAACATTTGTTCAGCCTCTGAGCAGATAACAACTCCTAAGGCTTCACTTCAAAGTCAAACTTCTTTAACAGCATGAGGGGAGGGGCTGTGAAGCTGAATCAAACCCGATTTCCAATGCAAATAGCTCTGCATTTCCTCCCCCAGTGTTTACTTGCCAGGGCACCCATTGCATCACTTTCCTGAGCAGAGCCATCTTCCTGGCTGCGATAAATTTAAAATGCACCCACACATTACACCTCATTCATTATGGATGTGGCCAACGATGCCCACGGGGCTCCATGTGCTCACTGCCAGGTCGGATGGCACCGGAGCAGCCTCTGCCAGCAGCAGCCCTGCTGGGATCACTGCCTGCAAACAGCACCATCCTCGCCGAGCCCCTTCCACAGCTCCTCACCGCGGTTACCTCCTCCAGCCACGGCAAAACCTGCTCTGACATCCCTCCCCAAAAGAGAAACAAAACAGATCTGTGCCCTCACCCAACAAATGGCCCCAAATACTGGGGGTTACAGGTAATTATTTATAGAGATAACATACAGTGAATACAGGTTCTGCTGTGGGCAGCTCCCACCTCCTCCCAACACGGGATGCACCTGGAGCCACGTGGAGCCAGCCCACCCCAGCCTCAGGACAGCAGGACACCCTCCTGGATCTGTCACCCAAGGTGCACAAACCTGAGCTGCTGTGGCAAACAGGAGCCAGGACCTGCTGATTCACTCCTAGGTGCTGCACCCCACATTTCCACCTGCGGGCACCAAACCCCTTTGGCTTTTTCTGGGACACAAGGAGGGGAAGGGACATTTTGGGATCAGAAGAAATTCATATCAAAATGGAGTGAGTGTAGGAGGGTGAGACCAGAGCAGAACATGGCAAACACTTAATAAGAAAGAGTATTTTCAATATGTTACAATCTAAAAATGGAAGATTTTTCCATATAAGACCACACAGGAAATTTGAATTTTCTCAATATCTCAACTTTTGTGACAAATGGCCTGGCCTTAAGGAGCTGTGACTAAGCACACTGAGAAAATGAGAAACTGCAATAGCTTTTCCTTCTTCCAGGAAAACAAACAAATAAGGAAAGCAATAGAAACAGATAAGAACTTCCAACTGCTGTAGCAGCTTATCACAGCGAGACAATCTAAACTGCTGATGGAAACACACGAGAGTGCAATAACAACAGGGGCTGAGCTGGGCTGAGTGCACAGAGATGCTCTGAGCCTGAGCACAGCAGTGCAGCCCAGACTCCACCCCAGGGCCGTGGGCCAGGCACCAGCAGCCACAGGTGGCCCCAAAAATGGAATTAAGAGGGAAACCGACCCCGAGCTCAGCCACCAGCAAGGGATCGGGACCACCGTGGCCACCAAGGGGAAGGAGCCTCATCCCTGACTGTGACAAGCCATCCCTCCCTAGCTGTGACAGCCCTGAGGCTTTGTTTTAAAGGTCGCTGGAAAGGTGACACCGGCAGAGGAACAGGGACAGGCTGCACCGCACGAGAGGCGCTGCCGGGCCCGGGGACATGGCAGAGCTGGGCTCACCTGGCACAGGTGAGCAGGGAACAGGTCCAGGTGAGCAGGGAACAGGTCCTGCCACAGTCAGAGCCCTGGCCCTGGCAGGAGCACTCCCAGAGCAAAGCCACCAGCCCTCCTGGGGAAATCCATCTGCTCAGGGGAGCACTTGGCAGGTGCCTGGCAGCTCTCCCTCCCCCATGCCAACCACCCAGCCACCGTGCCAATTCCTTCAGGAAGGATTTCTTAACAGACAGGGGGCTCAGGGAGGTTTGGAGTGCCCATCCCTGGGGGTGTCCAGGGAAGGGCTGGTCAGTGCTATGGGCTGGGGACAGGTGAGGAGCAGGCACAGCCTGAACTCGACGCTGTGGGGGTCTTTTCCCACCTGAGTGACTCTGGGATTCTGGTTCTGCAATGCCACTGTGCGCCAGGCAGAGCCCAGGGCTGGTACCTGCACAGTTCACTGCCCTCATGAAGAGGGCACCAAGAGGCCAAAGCCTGTATTTGAAAGCCCCCTGCTCCCCCAAAAGCCAGCTGGCACCTGGAAGCAGTTCGCTTCTGGCCCAGAGCAATGACCTACATTATCCTAAATGACAAGGCCCTTGTCATCAGTCAAATGACATACTCCTCCTCCCCAGGCTCATTTTGTAAGACACTGGCTGTCATCCCTGTTCACCTTGTTTACAAATCTAATTTAATGTGCAGAGACTACAAACAAGTTTAGTTAATGAAAAAAAAGAGCATTAACAGTAAAACACAGTATCCATCAGACTGGGGGTGTATTTCAGCCAGACCCTGGGACACCATTCTGGGGTTCATTTTGCTGTAACAACACAACACCCCTAACTTGCTACACTGAACACAAGAACTATTTGTAAATGCCAGGCCAGGTTGGATGGGGGTTGGAGCAACCTGCTCTAGTGGAAGGTGTCCCTGCCCATGGCAGGGGGCGGAATGAGATGAGTTTTAAGGTCCAACAAAACCTATTCTGGGATTCTGTGACAAGGAAGCAATGCTGTAATAACAGACCAGGCTCCAGATTTCCAGCTTGGTTGTGCTGAATCATCTTTACAGGAGAAAAACCACACTTTTTTTCCCACCTAAGAAGGAACAGCTCTTAGCTGGTGCTATTGAGGGTGTCAGTGCAGAGCTCCAGCCCCGCAGCCCGAGGTGTCTGAGTTCCCAAGATGAGGCTGACAAAAGCCCATTTCTGTGCAGGAAGAGCCAAGGCTGCCACCTCCAGGCTGTCCCCAGAGCTGTGGAACAGCCCAGCCCTGGGAGCCTGGCAGGGTGAAGGTGATCTCCAGCACACCCTGCACTGACAGCAGGGCCTGATGCCCTGGTGGTGCCCAGAAAAACTTGTTGTTTCCTCTTCTTCTCAAGTTTATCTTGGGAATACCCAATGTTTTAGACATCTAATGACGAATTCTCATACAAGAGAATGCAGAGCTGCCTGTATATTGGGAAAAAACAGCTTTTTCCTTCAGGTGTGCCCTGCTCCCCTGCTCCCTCAGGCAAATCCCTGCAGCAGGAGTGTGAACATGAAAGGAGAAACTCCTCAGGTTTCCCCTTCCTGTGCTACTCCCCTGCCATGATTTTCATGGAGCACAGCAGATTTCTGGAGCAGCTCCTGATCCCATGCCTGGCAGGCTCCAAACATCAAGGGAGGCTTCAGCTGCCTCTGAACACGCTGAAGTAAATTATTGTGGCTCCCTTCTCCTTCTCCCACTTTTAGTTTGATTTTCACATTATAAGAAAATATCCCCAGGGCACAGCAAAAAAAAAAAAAACATAATTCCTGTGTCAGCAGAAATTCTGCAGCTTTCTGGAGAAAAGCACAGCTCCAGAGAGTGGGAGGCAGCCCCAGGTTATCTCATCCCTCAGCCAAGCCAGGCTCAGCTCCCCACCCCGAGCCCTCCCTGCCACGGGCTGGCACCGGAACGCTGCCGGAGCACAGCCTGGCCAGGAGAGCCACCAGGGCTTACTCAACACCCACATCTTCATGAACTTGGGTTTTTCTGAGACCTCCAGGGAATTCCTGCAGATGAGAGGGCAGCTGGAGCACGGACAGGCACACAGCTGGGAGAACACAGTGAGTGCCTCTGGAGCAGGCTTTTGTGAACTGTGTGAACTTCTGCAGCGAGGGAGACCCGGGGCAGTGACTAATTCCTCTTGGAATAGCAACACCAGCCTGCCTTTCCTGTTTATATGGGTCAGCCATGCACCATGCTAACTGGTATGGTAACAGCTCTCACTCCTGGCTGCCAGAGATTGAATCCACACATACCTCTGGTCCAGCTGCTGTGTGGTAAGTCACAGCAGAAGTGGTTTCCTTCTTCAGGAAAAAGGAGTGAGAGTGCCTGCAGGCACGAGCCAGAGGTCCATCATCACCCATCCATGGTGAACCAGCAACAGCCACTCCAGCAGAAAAGCTGACACTATTCCAACACGTACCCAGCGTTGGAAAGAGGCAGCACATCCCTCCCAGAGCAGCCACAGAACACCTTCCCAGGCTGGCAACCGCTCACCTGGTGTGGCCAGAGGCTGCAGAAGTGCTAAAACATGCTTAAAGTCAGAGAGACTTGAGTCAGAGACCTGTAAACCAAAGCACTGACTCAGTACACGGAGAGCACGTGGCTGAGAAAGGTGTGATTCCATGGATTAGGGCTCTCCACTCACGGAGGGTGTGACTGAAGGGGAGAAACACGGGAACTGCACAGGAACTGTCCCACAGCCACGTGCAGGAGCACAGCCCTTCCCTCCACACAGTCACCACAGCCCCAGGAGCTTCCTGGCAGCACTCACCGATCCACAGCCTCCACATCAAAGCAGAACCTCTTCTCGATGGAGTCTGTTTTCCGCCGTGTGCAGGATTTCAGGGTGACAGCCTCATCCTCCCCCTGAGAAGAGACAAAATCCCAGCTGAGGCCAAGAACAGCCAGCAACCACAGGCCTGTCCCCAGCAGCCACCTCTGTCAATGAGCAGGTTCAAACCTGGAGGCATCTGGCAACATCACCCTGCTAAAGACATCTGTTTGTATCTCTGGCAGGAGGACTTGTCTTTTCACCCATATTTAGTCCAAACCCCTTCACGAGGAGCCTTCCCATGAGGGTGCTCATGATTCAATCTGTGCGTTAAGCACCACACAACCCATTTTTCATGTGGGCAGGTAATGCTGGACCACAACTTTTGGGCAAAATCAGCTTTATTTTCCACTGCTGAACAACACTCCGCAGACCTGCTGGCAGTTTGCACTCCACGCTGCGTTTTTGGCAGAACTGTGCACACCAGGACTCTTAACAGGAGCAAACATGTCTTAAAATGTTTATTATATAACAAAGCAATGACAAAACCATTCTCCCATCCAGAGAAGGCCTCTTTGCATCCAAGCTGTGCTGGATTTCCACGGGGCTGAGCAGTGATCCAGCAGGATCTGTGAGCACTGCTGTCCTCTGCTGGAGGAAATCCTGCCTCAGCCCCTGCCAGCACAGACACTTCTGCTGCAACTGTGAAATTCCACTGATGACTTAAGAGAAAATGAATTCTGAAGGAGTTCCTGGAGACAGACACTTTTCTGGGCTCTCTGTGCTGTTCCTGATGACACCTTGGCTGACCACCCTGTTCCCTGACATCACCATTATTCCAGGAAACATATTTACAATCACTTAGATTGAAAAAGACCTCTAAGATCACGGAGCCCAAAAGCTGCCCAGAACAGCCCAGCCCACCCCTAACCCAGGTCCTCACATGCCACAGCTACATGTCCATTAAATCCCCCCAGGGAGGGTGACTCCCTGGTTCTTATCCATAAACTCCTGCCCACTGCCACCATCACTCAGCTCCTGACACGGTCCCACTCATCTCATCCCACCACGCCTCTGTTCTCCTGCTGCACCGTGGCTCCCAGCCCCTCCTGTTCCCACTTGCAGGCACTGCTGTGCTGCTCCCCTGTGGGGCTCTGGACCTGCCCCGTTTTGGGGAGAAGCCCTCATTCCCTCTCACGTGCTCCCACGGTTTCCTACTCCCCAAGAAGGCTCCTGGACCAGGCAAGGCACCCAGCACAGACCCTCAAGAGCTCCCTGCAGGTTCTCCCCAGGGTCTGGCAGTGGCCTGTCCCGGTGCCCCCAGCCTGCCCCACTGCTGGCACAAGGCTGCTCCCCCTCTGCCCAGAATTCTGAAAATGTCCCTGCTCCAAAGCCACCAATACCCAGCTCTGGCCACAGCCCAGGGTCACGGGGGGCTGGCACCAGCTGTGAGCCAGGAGTGATGGTCTCCTCATGCAGCAGCCTGGCAGCAGTGCCAGTGCAAGCTCTGTGCTCACCTGTCCATGTGGGCACCACGGCCAGGGCTGCCCCAGCACGGACAGTGTTCCACACCAGGGTGCTGCAGGTCACAGTGTGAGCACAGCCCTGCAGAGGGGCTCCAGCCTGGCCCTGGAGAGGGGCCCTGGCTGCTGGGAGAGCCCTGAAATGGGAAGGGACCAGACAAAACACAGGACAGCCACTGATGATTACAGGGCTGGGATATGTTAATGCTGAGCTATAATGAAGATGCTCCAAGGCAAGAGGAAATTAATTTTAGAAGCTTCCCTGCCCACAGCCGGCTCCCTGTGCCAGCAGGAAGCCGTGTGGGAGCCTGTCCAGCTGCCCCAGGCACTCCCCAGCAAGGGGACTGTGTTTGCAAACCCAGCTGGGAACTCTGAGGAGGGCTCCAGAGAAGCAAAGCCTGCCCTGGATACAGCCCTGGGAGCATTGGGACACAGCATGTGCTGGCTCCCCACAGCCCACATCCACTGCTCCCCCTGCTCCTCACACCTCCTCAGGGCCAACTGGAGCTCCAGGCTCTCCTGTGGCTCTGCCCAAAACAAAACAACTTCATTGGCCGAGTCACAGGATCATCAGAGACTCACAGAATGGTTTGGGTAGAAAGGGCACTCAGATCTCATCTTGTTCCACCCCCTGCCATGGGCAAGGACACTTCCACTCGACCAGGTTGCTCCAAGCCCTGTCCAGCCCGGCCTTGGACAAGTCACAGGCAATGGAGAAGGAGCAAAACAATGAACAGGTTCTCTAGTCCGTGCCTTGGAGCAGGAACGAGGCACTGGGGAGCAGGCACCCCTGGAGCTGGAGCGTGCTGGGTGCATGTGGCTGGCAAAGATCTGCGGGCTCTGGGGGTTTCCTGTCTTTTCTTTCTCAAACCAGGTGCCAAGTTCATTCCCCATGTGGCAGCCACTCAGCCTGAAATGAATGTGACCCACTTCACTGCACTTGTGTCACCTTGCCAAAAAGGTGGCACAGGTTGAGCCCTGGCAGAGGCTGCAGTGCCACATGTTCCCTGGCAGGACCCAGTCCTGCTCCCAGCACTCACCCCTTTTAATCCTGCTCCTTCTCCTCCTGCTCCCAGCACTCACCCCTTTTCCTCCTGCTCCTTTTATCTCCTGCTCCCTGCACTCACCCCTTTTAATCCTGCTCCTTCTCCTCCTGCTCCCTGCACTCACCCCTTTTCCTCCTGATTTCTGGTCGAAGGGCACCATGGTGATGCGCTTGGATTCCCTCTGGTAGGTGCAGTAATGCTTCACCCAGGAAGTGCCAAAGTGACCTGCAGAGCAAGCACAGGGTTCATGCCCAGAACAGTTTCAGTGCCCTCACATTAGGACCTGCTGTGTTTACCCATCATTTCACGTGCCAGACTCCTGTACCTAAAGGACTTTTACAAGGCAGTGGCAGTGATTCTCCCTGGCTGCCACATTCCCACTGAATTCCCCCCTCCCTGGGTCAATCCCTGTCTTGCAGGGATTCTGTACCTGCTGAATCAGCCTTTGTGCCCCTTCCCCAGGCTCCCACCACATCCCCCAGCCCAACACCTACGCTTCTCCTGCACGTAGAGATACCCCTCCATCGTGTAAGGGCTGATGTTTTTGTGTTCGTGGGGATTCTCCTTCATCTTCTTCATCAAAGCTTCAACCTCTGACCTCGTTCCTTCAAAGCGGTTTCTTGTCTGCAAATTAAAACAGGAATGTCTTCTCCAGGGCAGGGAGCAGTGCCTGGCTCTGCAGCACTTGGGGTGGGGCTGGGTCCCTACAGCCCTGTGGGAAATGGGACTGGGGAGCCCAGGGGCAGCCACAGAGCACCCTGTGCTTCCTAAAGCAAAAATATTACAACCATTGGCAAGGCCTTCCAGAACTTTCAGAGGGCTTACAAAAAGAGGGAGAGTGATTTTTGACATGGGCCAATAGTGATAGGACAAGGAAAATGGATTTAAACTAAAAGAAGAGAGATTTAGAATGGGTATTAGGAAAAAATTCTTCCCTTCACAGATTGCCCAGAGAAGCTGGGGCTGCCCCTGGATCCCTGGCAGTGTCCCAGGCCAGGCTGGATGGGGCTTGGAGCAACCTGGGACAGCAGAAGGTGTCCCTGGCCATGGCAGGGGTGGCACTGGATGGGATTTAAGGTCCCTTCCAACCTAAACCAGTCTGGCATTCTTTAATTAAAATACACCAGAAGGTGAGGTGGCTCTGCCAGACGCTGACAGTGATGGGCAGGGGGCACAGGGACACCCTGGACACCCTGGACACAGGGACACCCCAGGCACACTCACATTCTGGATGCTGATTGTCAGCTCTGTCTTGAAGTCGCTGAAGTCCTTTGCGAGCTCGTAGCCGTGGTGGTAGAACGTGAAGAGCCCCTGCAGAAAGGCCAGGAGCTGCATTGGGAAAAAGCAAATGGGGAGGGTCAGTGAAGACCCAGAGGCAGCACTGATGAGGGGAGGGGGCTGCCTGGAGGGCCCTGGGGAGAGGGGCTGTGGGGCAGGCTGGGCCCCCTGCCCTGCCAGGACCCCATCTCACCACACAGCCCCAGCTCACTTACAGGTTCCACAAACTCGAACATCTTCCTCTCCTGCACCTCCTGCACCTTGAAGACGTATTCCAGGGAGACCTCGTAGAAGTGCTGCCGGACCAGGTCCACCTGGCTGTCTGCCTGCAGAGGGGTGGCAGAGGAAACACCAGCTCAGGAAGGAGCAGAGCTGGCTCTGATGGGAACACAAGCACAGCAAACCCAGCTCCAGCCCCCAGTCCCAGCTGGACAGATGGCACAGCAATAAACAAAAATCAGATCCACGTGAGCACGCTCTTCCTTCAGCTGAGGAAAATGGGTGTGGGTCTCACCTCCCCAACAGCTGGGTAGAAAACACACAGCAGAGGTGAGAAAATGGAAATCACCATGAGCTTGACAAGCAAAGGCAACTCTCCCTTTTCTGGGAAGCATTCCCCCTCACCAGGAATGTCACATCCACATTTCACAGCTCCACACTGAATCCCTTTTCTGAGGTAGCCCTTCCCTTGGTGGGGTCTGAGCCACACAAACCACTACAAACACCACACCAATACACTTCCCAAACACCACACCAATACACTTCCCAAACACCACACCAATACACTTCCCAAACACCACACCAATACACTTCCCAGTGCACGGGGAACAGGAGCCAGCACCTGAGCTGGGAGCTGCTCCCAGCGACTGCAGGCTCCTCCCGGCAGCAGCCCGAGGCAGGGTCTGGCTGGGAGATGCCACCAGATGGCACCAGCAGCCAGCGCTGCTCCAGCGCACCTGCACAGCATCAGCATCCTCTCTGCATCCCAACAAACCCCCAGCAGAATCCCAAACAGAATCCCAAACAGAGTCCCAAACAGAATCCTGAATCCTGTGCTGCATCCCGCACAGAATCCTGCACACAATCCCAAATAGAATCCTGCACACAATCCCAAACAGAATCCTGAATTCCTGTGCTGCATCCCTCACAGAATCCCACCCAGGATCCCGAATCCCACACTGCATCCCGCACACATCCCACCCTGATCCCACCTGTATCCCCTGAGGCACCTCCAGGCAGCCCCTCAGGGCTGTGCCCTGGCACAGGCTCACAGCTCTAACAGCTGCCCATGGATCCTCCCTTCCCCAGCCAGAACTCTTCGCTCTCCTGTGCCCCAGAGCATCCCAAACACAAACCCACCCAAGGGCTCAGGCTCATTTAGAACCCACCACTCCCTGGGACACGTGGCTGCTTCCACGTGGGGAGTTATTCCAAACACCAAGGACGAGGCTGGCTTGCAAGCACCTCTGCCCAGATCCCGAGCCCTCCTCAGCCCTGATTTGCAGAAGATGATCCCCTGTGCCAGAGGTATTCAGGTATTTCTGAATTTCATGGTGTACCCGGGTACAGGAGCCCCGTGCCCAGCAGTGCCCCAGTAAGGAGCAGCAGAGCACCAGCACCATGCCCAAAGGCAAGGACACAGATCCTGCAGGACCAACCCAGCTCTGGGAGTTCCAGGCTTGAAAGAAGTGATTGAAAACTCAGCATACTCCTCCAGCAGGAGCACTTGTCACCACAGCTAACCACCTCCTGAATCACTGAATCACTGGCTCTTAAAGAGTTTAAGGCACTAAGCCTGATCCCTCCTCCCCTGGAGCACAAAGCAGAGCAGGCTCTTGCAAGAGAAGGAGACCAGACATCCATGATTTGTGCTGGCACATGGGAAGCCTGCAGCAGAACCAGTTCCTTTCTGTTACACTCTTTAATTACAAACCCTCTCTCCTTTTTGATTGCTATCCATTTTGGGATCTCCCTGATTTACTCACCAAGACAGCTCCATATCCTTTCATTACAGGAAAAGGGGAAAACCCAGCACCCACAGCCAGAATGAGGGAAAAAATGAGTTTACAGTCAGGACAATTGTTGTTATAAGCTGTGTGAGGCATTCAAAAAGCTCTCCACAGTCAGACATGGAAACTCAGAGGTTGCTCTCACCTCCTGAAGCTGGGACTCTTTCTTCTTGGAAGACAAATTCAAGTGCTTTTCTAGGACACCACAGTATTTCTCAGTCTCCTTGTCATATTTCTTTTTGGCATCCTGCAAAACAGAACAAAAAGCGTGGCACTGAACACAGCAGCCCCAGAGCAGCTGTGACAGCACCCCTGTGGCACAGGGCAGGATGGCAGCCCCAGGTGGGAGCCAGCATGAGACAGCACCTGGGGGCAGCAGCTGGAAGCAGGTGAGGCTGCTTTTATCTGCCAGCATCAGGCAGCTCCAGGAAAGCAGCTTATGCTGCCAAAAGCCATGGCTTGAGGGAGCCCCTCCTCTATTCCTGGGGCCCAGTGCTTGGTAAAACATCCAGATCCAGGTCCAAACACACAAGAGAGTGGGGAAAGTGCTTTCTAAGCAGAACATCGTCACAATCCCCCAGCCCAGCCCACCACCCCTGGCAAGAGCTCCTCAGCCGTGGCACGTGGGACAGTGGCACAGCACCTCTGTTGTGGCAGGAGCATTCAGGACACCAACTCCCCTTTCCTTTGCACCTCTGGTCCCAGCCTGGCCACCCCAACACGCCAGGGCCCAGTCCACGGCAGCAGCTGCTCGTGAGCAGGTCCGTTCTGGAGGATCCTCCGTGTTTGGTTTCCAGCCGCACGAGGCCGGGCTGGCACCGCTGCCGTGCGGCCCCAGGCGCTGCCACGAGCTGCTTGCAGGCAGCAGCAGGTTGTTATAACAACAGGGGAGCCACAGACAGTGGTTTTCATTTCAGAACAAAGGCAGGAAAGCAAGAGGAGGGGGGCCAGGCTGTCTCGCAGCCGCCCTCAGCCACACCGGCGCTTCCCCGTCCTGCCAGAAGCGTCCGAGTTCCCGTGCAGCCCCCAGCGATGCTTTGGGGTGGGGATGCAGCCTGGGGCACTCAGGAAAATGCAAGCCCCTCCAAGAAAAATCCTAATTCTTCCTTGCAGTAAGGAAAGAAGCTGGCTTCAGCTGGCATGCAGTTTTTTGCCCTTGGCACGTTATTTGGCTGTGGGTGAACTCGGAACACCGAGGCACTTCCCAGGAGCTGCATCGCCCCCGTGTCCATCCCACAGCAGCACGCTGCCTCCTCCCACGCCTGAGCCCATCCCGCAGTGTGCCAGCTCCTGGCCAGCTCCGGGGGGCACTGCCTGCCTTACCTTGGCAGCCCCAATCTGCTCCTTGCGGAACTTCTCCAGCGGCGTGATCAGCACCTCGCTGGCGTTCTCGATCTGGGGGCAAAGACAGGCCCACCTCACCTGCTGCTCCTCAGCTTTTCCATGGAAACCCTTGCACAGCCCCCAGACACCCACAGGCCTCACCCCTCCCACCTCTGCAAACCTGTGAGCCCCCCCAGCGGCAGCACTGCCAGCTCTCCAGCATCAGGACTCCACTCCTGAAGCTTTTCAAGTGTTTCCCCCACCAAACCCACCCTCCCCTCCCTCTGCCCTGCCCTGCAGCTCCAGCCCTGGGGCTGGCAGTCACTGTCACCACGCTGTCCCAGGTGCCACCACCCCTGCTCCGGGGCCGTACCATGCGCATCCGCTCGTCCTCCAGGTTCCGCAGCACCGTGGCGAACTCCTGCAGAGACTTGGCTGGGAGGGACACAGAGTCAGCGTTCAACATCCCATTTTTAAGGAGAGAAACAGCTCAGAGGGGTTCTGTCTGTGTTTTTGGGAGGAGGGGTTGGGGTTTTTATTATCTTTGCTCTCTCCCTAGAAAGGTTCCTGCCGCCTACAGGAGAGCAGCAGAGCATCCCCAGGACCAGGCTGCCTCCTCCAGAGAGCAAGATCCTCAGCTCAAAGCTGCCCTACCCAACAGTCAGTCACCAAGCAGCCCCAGAGCACAGCACTGGCCCCCAGGCATGGCCAGCACACGAGGGGCACGGCACCAGGGAGAGCTGGACGAGGAGCTATTTCTGCTGAGAGACTGGGCACAAATAAACGAGCAAAGTTAAATCAGGGCTAAAGCTTCTTTGCTCTCCTGGCTCCAGATGATGTGCACAATAAGCTCTATAAGTTCAGCTGGGGCAGGAGCAGGGTGAGAGAGGGAAGAGGCTGCAGGCACTGCCCTGTGCCAGGAGAAGCTGCGTGGCAGAGCCAGGCTCAGCCCAGGGAGCGAGGCCAGGCTGGGCACTGGTGATTCCCTCAAGCACGGGCTCCTGTGCTCCAGCAGCGAGGCTGCTGCTCCTCTGCTTCGGAGCACACCCCCTAGCAGTGTACCCAGCCACAACCACCCCCAGATTCTCCTCTCCACCGCACAACACCCAGCTAACTGAGATGGTTTCAGATACGGGCAATCTTCTCCCTTTCCTGTCTGGCAGGGACAGATTTAGGCCAAGAAGCAACAGCTGATTCCCTGGGGAAGGCTTTGCTGCTGTTGAACAGGAGGAATATGCTGTTCCCAGACCAATTCCTTGGTGTCCCCGTGGGTGTTTCCCTGCTGTGCCCTGCTCAGGTGGCTCCAGGAGCAGCAGGACTCACCGATGCAGATCTCATCATCCGTCTCAGCGTCGCCGATGCAGCGGAATTTAAACTCGTTGAGGGAATCCGCGAACTTGCGCTTGGCGGCCGACAGGTCTGTGAGAGCAGGAGCAGGGAAAACGGGGATGTTACAAATGGGAAAGTCCCCAAACAGCAGGATGCAGGCAGACACGTGATCCCATCGGGAAATACCCACAGAGGGACCCGTCCGAGGGAACCCTGGCACCAGGGAAGCCCCAGAGCGCTGCCCTTCTGCAGCCACCCCAGGGACACAGCCCTGTCAGCACCCCCAAAATACCCCACAGGAGATGAAACCCCACAACACCAAAAGAGGCACCCCAGAGCTCAGAGCTAGAGCCACGGGGCAGCAGCAATGGTGACAAGACAGTGACACTGCCCCCCAAGAGGTGGCAGCTCTGCCATGCTCCTGTCGCACTGAGGGAGGACGGCAGCACAGAGCTTTATTGCTGCCCAAGCTGCAGATTCTCTCCGAGATCTGGATCCTATTAAGTTCTTACTGGCAGTGACCTGAGTGGACGCAGGATTTCCAGAGCAGCCCTGTTAACCTGGCACACACAGCCTGTCCCGGGCACCACGGGGCCACCGTGTCCCTGCCAGCACTGCCGGTGGCAGCGAGACACAGCGTTCACTTCCCCGTGCATTTCTTCACTCAAAACCCAAAATTCCATGGGTTTTCCCCCTTTCCCAGCATCGGTGGAAAACGCGTGTGCACACAAAGGCCATTTCCTCCTCTCAGACACCAACAGCCAAGAGATAACCACAGCAGAGTCCAAGTGGTTTGCTTTCCCCACGGGATAAGGGAGCTGGCAACTTTCTCCAAGCATTAAAGCTGTTTTCCCAGTATCGCTGCTGACAGCCCTGGGGTTAATCCTGCCCAGTTCAGTCCCGGCTGCCTTCACACGAGTGCTTCCTAAGGCAGCAGGAAATCAGCCAGCCAAGGCAGGCACGGACAGGGAAATCCCCGGGAACTTTCCCAGTGGAAAAGTACAGAGGGGGCTTCTTCAAGGAAAAGGTTCACACGTAACAGGATTTGCACTTTGCTCCCTGGAGGATGGAACGAGCACGGCTTTTACACCCTTCCTGTGCCAGGAGCCCCCACTGGCACCCACAGAAGCAAGACACACGCGTTTTTGGGGGAAACTTCCAGGTGTTCCTGGGCAGGGTTGAGAAGGGGGACTCAGGAGGGTGGGAGGGTTTGTTCCAGCTCAGCTCAGGGCTGACCAAAGGGCACTGGGACTCGTGCAGCTCTCCCTGCTCCCTTCCACGTGCCCGTGCTGGTGTCAGCAGCAGAGCAGCCTCCCTCCCTCCCCAGAGACTGCTGGGGCAGCACAGGGCTCGGGGACTCTCAGCCAGCCCCTCCTGCCTGCCCTGGAATAACCACCAAGATGATGTTAATGATTTGAGGAGCCATTTCCTCCCCCCCAACCCCTTGCTGGCCCCCAAACCCCGAGCCCCTGGCCACATTCCACGTGCCAAGCAGGCCTGATGTGACAGCCCTCGTGCCCACCCCAGGCTGGGCAGGACCCCAGAGCTGGAGGCTGCTGCAGCACAGGGATGAACACCTGGGGGATGAGCTGAGCCTCTCCTCCACCTGAGAGTGAGGAGCAGCTCTGGGACCAGGCACGAGGCAAGGCAAAGCCAAAGAAGCCTTTGGAGCCAGCAGACCTGACAGCAGTGGCCCACGGTGCTTATAAATAGGCAAGGGAGAGGCAGGAGGAGAGGGAGATAACTCCTGGAGTGACAGCGATAAAGGATAAAATTAGCAGCGGGTTCGGCCAAAGGAGAGAGGGGCAGCCGTGCCCACCCTGTGGGGCCTCACATCCTCCCTGGGCTGCTGTCAGGCCCTCCCATGCCCCAACATCCCCTCTTCATAAAAGCTGGAGCCCCTCACCTACATTTTGGGACAACAGCCCTGCAGTGGAAGCAGGAAGGCACAGGGAGAACAGGGCAGCCCCTCAATGAGCCTCGGATCCTGAGGGTTCTTCTTTCCCAGGGCTGTGAACAAGCAAACCCAAAATCCTGCAAAGGCTCAACAGAATCTGCTGCTTCCTCTCATGCACGAGCAAAACCACCCTGACACTGCACATGAGTCACACCAGGGCTGCACCGAGGGCTGGCAAGTTTTCCTTCCAAGTGCTCTGCTGGCTTGATCAGTCAACCACAGCTGCAGGGAAAAACAGCACAAAAAGCCTGAAAAATCCTTCTGCCTGAGCAACACAACCAGACCAGGTTGCAGTTATCATCATCACCATCATCATCATCATCACCTCCCATGGCTCCCTTTTCCCACCTGGGCTGGGGAGGATGGGACAATCCCTTTGGGAAAACTGCCACACACAAATCCACCTGCACAGCTACAGCAACCAAGGACCTAAATAAAATGTCCTTTTAAAAGAGATGCACCCTGGCCATGCACCTCAGGAGCAGCAGGAAGGGGGACAGCTCCCAGCAGGTCAGAGGGCAGCAGCTTTTCCTGGAAGCAGCCTCGGATAACCCCTTTGCCTGTCCCTGCTCCCTCACAGCCAGCCCAGGGGTCACCCTGCTCTCCTCCTCCTCTCCAGCCAGGGAGCAGCCTGAATTCCACCCCAGGCACACACCTCCAGCTCCAGGGCTCCCTCCAAACCTGCCTGAAGGGACCTTCTCCAGCCCCCAGGAATCCTGCAAGGGACCAGCAGCACCTCGTGCTCCCCACGTCCCCCTCCTCCTCCTCAGCTATTGAGTTTGGTCTTTCTGGGAAGTGGCTGCTGTTACTGCAAGGAGACTGAAGTGGTTGCTTTTTAAATAAAAAGCCTCTTCCAAAGGAATTTGGAATGACTGAAAAAGGCCATTTGTAGAAGGAAGTGTCCTGATTTCCCAACCCTCCTCCCTGAGTGCAGCACCCCAGGGGTGACCCCATCCCATCCCACCCTGGGGGTGACCCCATCCCAGCCAGGCCTGCAGTCAGCACCCCAGAAACAACGGGCAGGACACCGAGGGGAGCCCCAACACATCAAAATGAGATGGAGGCAGGCAAATGTCCCCCCCCTGCCTGGTCCTGCTGCCTGATCCCGAGCTGGAAAGATCAGGTCAGCCAGGGAAAAGTGCAGCTGCTGGCCCAGAGCTGGGGGCTCTCCCCAGAGCTGACTCTGCAGCCAGTTTGCCACATGAGCTGGAAAGAGCAAAGAGCTCTGGCTCAGCCGGACCTGGGACAGAGGCAGGAGCAGCAGGATGGGGAGTTCAGGTTAAAGACAAGGCTGCTGCTGAGTCTGGCCATGAAGGGTTAATGCTGCTGCAGAAGGGGCAGAGGATGCTGCTGCAAGGCAAGCTCCGGGCTCCGCTCACACCGAGCGGGATTTCTACACTTCCTGCAAAGAAAACTGCTTAACAGCCTATATTTAATGTTCAAGTGGACAACAGGAACTGACACTCCTGCCCCTTCCTTCCCCACAGCACAGAACACACGAGCAGCAGGCTCAGGCTGTCCCCTGCAGGCCCCGGGACAGGGACAGGAGGGCAATGCCCGTCCCCACCAGCAGCCCCCTGCCCCAAGCAGGGCACATCTGGGGGTCAGCGGTGCACAGCTGGCTGCAGGGAACAGGACACAGCACCTGCACAGCCCCACAGCCAGCACGGAGCAGGCACAGGGGCCAGCCAGGATGGGTAATCCAGGGAGCAGCCGCTCTAATCGGCGGCCAAACCAGGATTACAGCCTGCCAAGGGTGCTTAGAAAGCAGCAATATGGTGTCTGTCCCCACAGCGAGCACAGCACCCCTCCCCGGGGTCACACAACGCTCCTGCAGCTCAGGGATACCCAGGGAAGGGCTTTGGGACAGGTCAGAGCTGGGAATGGCCCCTGGCTGTGAGCACTCTGCATGGGACACTCATCCAAGCCGGTCCCCAGCTCGTGCAGGAATGCAGTGACAAGGAGCTCCTGGCTGAACACAGCGCTCGCAGCTGCCAGAATGGAGCTTTACCCGCCCAGCCCCAGCCCTCGCAGTGCTGGGGTCAGCACCAAGCGTCAGGGCAGCATCATCAAACGCTTCATTTGCTCCAGAAGGTTTAAATCCCCTCTCTGCGCTCCCCAGCAAGGTCAACAAAGCCCCGCTCCCACGAGACAACGCGCTGCTCTGGGCCTGATCCCAGAGTCGCTTCCATGCAGAATTAGCACTGATTTGTTTATTAAACAACTTCTCCACCAGGTGGTTGGAGTTAATCAGTGGTTTAGGATGGGACGGCAGCTGCTGGCAGGTTCCCCCTCTGAATCATCCTGAGCAAATCTATAAAACCAGATGGGCAGAGCCCGCCCCACCTCCAGCACAGCTTCTGCCCTCACGTTCCGCACAGAAGCCGTGGAGAGGCTGCCACAACTTGGCACACGCCAGAGATGGAGGTGAGAGGGTGCCAAAGACCCCAAGGTGACCCCAAGGACCAGGGCCAAGGGCACAGACCCTGCAGTCACCCCAGAGCAGGACCCCCAAGGCAGGGAGAGCATCGCTGCCGCAGCCCCACAGCTCCCCAGACCCCATTTGGGTGCCTGCTCCGCACACACAGCCTCCAGCTGAGCCTTGTCTCAGCAGCACACCCAGGGAGGCCAAACCCCACCAAGCAAGTTCACAAACACACATTCCTACAAACCACGCTCCAGAACCGCTCAGGTGCGCTAAAGCACAAAATAACCTGAAGCTCTGCCCAAGACGCCCCAAGAGGTGCAGGAGGTGCCAGAGCCCCGGCTCAGCCTGGCCCTGCAGCCAGGAGAGCGCTGGGCACTGCTGCCAGCCCAGGCATCCCCGTCTGCCCGGATTCCACACTCAGCGTGGCTCCGTACGGCAGTGTTTGCCCGAGCACAGAGGACCCTTTGTGGGCTGAATGGCACCATTGACCAGGCTCACACAGCAGATCAGATCTGAGCACCATGCTGAGGACACAAATTATTGCCACGGTATTTGAAGAGATAAAGGTTCTGCACCTCCTGGAAAACAAAGTCGTCCCTTGGAAGGTCTGCCTGGCTGCACAGCTAAAATTATCCCCACCAGCCCAGCACCCCGGCCACGTCATCGTGCCACCCCCAAATCAATAACGCTTGCAGTTATCTTGGG